GTGACCCCGTCTGTGCTTGGCTGGAAACGTTGCAAGAAATGGCGGCTAATCGATGTCAGTGGCGTTCGTGCTGTCAGTTTCTTTCCAGATTGTCTGATTGAGCGGTCGGAGATGTAGGCACTTCAGAATGTTTGACATAGGCATCACTAGGTCCACTCCCTCACCCACTCTTTTTCTCTCCACTCTAGGGTTTTTAATATATATATATATATATATATATATATATATATATATAACCAGACGAACCTTATGGTTGTATCGCAGTGAAGTATCAGTGGCAACACTGATGTTGCTGTCTTTGATGTTGATAATGACTTTCGGCGTGCTCCTTGCACCTCGGAACGTACAGTCTGTGAAACTCCCCCTTACAACTCAATATAGACCACTGGAGAATTTTACGTACCTCGGTAGTTGTATTAGCTCTGACGATGATGTATCTAATGAAGTTAGTGCAAGAATTTCAAAGATTCAAGTAACTTTTGCTAATTTGCTTCACTTGTGGCGTCAAATGGCATATCACTGGGTCCTCAGGGTCGCGTGTACCAGGCTTCAGTAAAGACTGTGCAAATGTATGGGTACTAGACGGGGCCTCTGTGGACAGGTGATGCGAGGCATCTTCAGGCTTTTGGCCACCGATGTATCAGGAGGGTTGCTGGTATTGGATGACCAAGCGAATCAGTAACCAGGTGATTAAAAAACGGGTATTTGGTTGTGCAGCCAGTACTTCGATCGCGGAAAGCACCACGGTGCTTTGGCTATGTGCTGCGCATGGCGAAACACCACCTACCGAGACGGCGATAGGCGCAAACTACGAGGTGGACAACGTGTGACTTGGTAGAAGGTTGTGAAGAGGATTACGTAGAGTTTGAGTGTTGTTTGTACAGTACGCCTCCTCGGATGGGGTTCCCGTTACTCCGCCTGTGCTTGGCTGAAGACATTGTTGGAAATGACGGTTGATCCATGTCAGTGGTATTCGTGCTGTCAGTTTCTTCCTAGATTATCTTATGGAGCGCTTTGGGGTGTAAGAACTTGAGAATTCCTGAAGTAGGCCAGCACAAGGTCCCCTCACTCACCCACTATTTTCTCTTCATTTCACTTGAAGCTTTAGATTTTATTAGGTGAACTTTGTGGTTGTGCGGCAGTGAAGCATCTCTATCATCACTGATACTGTGTCGTATGATGATGACGGTTTCATTGGAACATTTGACCACGGTGTGCCGAAATCGGTGAACTTTTGGTTGTGCGGCAGTGAAGCATCTCTATCATCACTGATACTGTGTCGTATGATGATGACGGTTTCATTGGAACATTTGACCACGGTGTGCCGAAATCCCATGCGATTTCTGGGGAAATGCAGACGGATTAATATGCTTAATTGATGTGGAAAATTTTTGGAGTGGTGTACAAGTTGCATGAATTTTGAGTGTACTCAAACTCATTAGGGATATCGTTGTCAGGTTTAGATTCAACGTTTGTTGTTTTGAAGTTGTTTCAAGATTCGTCTGTTCACTTGGTTGAGTTTTTCCTTCACTAGAGTAAGTATAGGCCGATCTGGACCGTGATATTCTCCAGTTAGGGCAACCACCGACTCGTCTTTGGATCCATTTCGACTGCCTTCGGATGCAGTTTCTTTATGCGGGCTTCGGAATCCAACGTTCGTATACGAAAGGTCACGTTCCGAGAGCTCAACTTCCCCACGAGTTAGTCGTGTTTGAGTGATTTTCTTGTCTGTTCAAGGCATGCAACAGCCGAATTTTCTCCGGGTGGCCTGGCTGTTAGGCACTGATTGGCGGCAACAACCCCACAACAACCATCTATTTCTATTATGACTCAATGGTACCGATCACCATGTTATCTATTCGTTCTAATAATGCGAAAACAGTGGCTACCTCCTTGAATGTGTTAGTTGTACGATTTTAATAAACAGCAAGATGTCCTTCGTCTTGACCTTGCAGAAATTGACGGATGAATGGGACTGTAGTCGGGCTGCAGTATCATCACATACAGATGTGGTTTGCTTCCCATAAACGGCATCATCATCATCGACAGCATGACATAGAAATTGACGAATGGGACTGTAGTCGGGCTGCAGTATCATCACATACAGATGTGGTTTGCTTCCCATAAACGGCATCATCATCATCGACCGACAGCCATCAGTGTTCAACACCGATGCTTCACTGCCGTACAACCATGACTTATTTGAAAGCCTTATTGTAAAGAAAAGAATAAAGGTGGACGGGGAAGGGACTTAGTGCTAGCTCACCACAATCATTCCGAGGTGCCTACAC